TATATATATATATATATATATATATACAGCACACACAAACACGTATATATAGATACTGTCTCAAAAATATGGCACAAACCTGAATATTAACATCTGCCCTGTTACTAATAAGTAGACCAAGACACCTTGTACCAAGGTTGGAGGCTACAGCAAAATGTAGTGGAGTGAATCCTTTGTTGTTTGTCTTGTTTACATTAGCTCCATAGCTGATGAGTTCTTCCACAACCTTATCTTCACCATTATAACATGCAATATGCAGAGCAGTGTTGCCATTAGCATTTACTTCATCAATCTGTAAGAAAATAAAATATATCAATCTATAGGTTTTAAAAGTCTTGAATCTCAAATTTTGTTTGGACAAAAATCTGTATGAACAATTAAAGAGATACTGCTGCTTACCTTTTAAATTGCTTTTTACTTGCTTAAAAATCCTACCTAACTTTCCTCTATGTACTGATTAGGAGGAACACTGCCTGTCCTAAAAAAGGGTTAATGCCTTCGAGTCATTGTGTGTTAATGAAAGGAAGTTCAGTCTGACACTCTAATTTCACTCTCAAACTGCTTAGAGTAGCCTGGAACCTGCACAAAGGCCTTCACCAAAGAGGCATTTGAAAGGTAAGAAATACAGTATATTTCTTAAAATTATTTTTAGGTATGCTGCGTGAAAAGGAACACATACCAACCATATAGTGGGGGTTTCTCAAATCTTAATGCAGAAGTAGAACTACACTGTAACTACAGCTGTATTCCAATAATGATTTTTTGTACTGGGATTCACTTTAATGGTGGCCCCAAGAGCAGCACATACTTGCTTTCCTTTTTATTACCCTGCTTCTCTGTTTAGAGAGGAAACCCTTTGTTAGCTCCAAGTAGATCTAGATAGGGCTCACACAGTTCTGATAACTATCTCTCCCTGCCCTCATGTGACAACATTGCTTCCAGAGTGGCTAGTTGTTATCAGGTTGAAAATAATTAATTGCATGCTTTCCCATATCCTGGGAGCACCAAATATTAATCTTTTCTCTAGGCAGTGAATAGAGGTGAGGTTAGTAATGCGAAGCTAATCCCCCCTTTGCCTGCACAGAGAATACTGAATATTATTGGAGGAAAGCAGAGCACCTAACAAGCAAATATGTTATACATTTAGAATGATATACTGTATATAGCACACCGTGACACCATATTCAAATTATATTTTTTATGCATAGTAGAAATTAATATTACATGGACAGACAAATTAGTATAAAATCCAGAAGCCTGTCAGTGTCAGAGCCAAAAAAAACTGAAGACAGTAGACATGAGGTTCAGCTAACAAAACTAGAAAAGGTTCAATGACATTAGTTTCCAGCTGTAATATATTTAGACCATTGGCTACCTAAAGCCTTAACTATATCCACCAATTTAATTTCATTTAAGCTCTCAAGTCCTCAAATAGCTTGTGTCATAGCTGATCACATGTACAACATCATGGCAACTGCAATCCAAATAGAGGCTAAGATGGCACCTTCCTTGGCTGTATGGTATACAAAGTTGTAGTTCCACTATAAGACCAAGAAGGCTTCTGAGAATTATACACATTAGGCTCAATTCACAAAGATAACACACCAGAACAAGTATCCTTATTTTTTTTTTTTAAAGTGACAGTTATTTTAGGTGATGCCAATGAAAACGTTGTGAATTAAGGTTAATGCATGGAATGGAGGAATGATAGGGCGCAGATAACTATAATATGAAATGGGTACAGGTACTGATGATGATCACAAAAGTTTCAGAGATGAAATGAAAGCAATAACATCTAACATCTAATAACATCTAACAAAAACTCTACATGTGTATGTTCCTATCCCAATTTGTGAGTCTGTGATTTGTGCTTCATCTAGTTCACATATGTCAAATTCAAGGTCCAGGGGCCGAATCCGGCCCACCAGGCCATTTCCTAGACTTCTACTTTCAGATCTAGGTATTAAGTTATTACTAAAACCAGTAATAATCAAATGCAGAGGCAATTATGATTTTGCAGTTCAGAGACAAGCTACTGGTTGCCTGTAAAGCCACTGATGGGCATAGGATAACATAAGCTGTAAAGCTGAAATGCGTATGGTTGGCCTCCCTGGCCAACAGGGATGTGAGAAGAAAAGTTGGCAGTGGGGAGGGGGGCTGTTAACCTGCTCTCTGACCTGACATTTACCAGAATAGATGTCGTGTCCAAAACAATCATGCAGCCAGTAAAGTTTCAAAAGTCAGAAATCCTGACATACATGTTTTTTGTAGGTCAGTTGCTTAATTTATAGTAAAGTAAGAATCAGAAGGACAAGCCCCACAGCTCACAACTTTAACTACAAATTGACAGTGTAGTTCCCATACGTCGAGCTATACAGGCTTATTTAATAAAAAAAACTCACTATATGCTGGCGATGCCTGGCCTCGGAGGGGACCCTCCTGTACATTTGGTTTGCACTGCTCGCTCCTGATGCTCCTTCTTTAATGTTGTCTGGATAGAGGGGAGAAAATGCGATAATACCACTCAGCCTTAACAGTCTCCTGAATGAGACACGCACAGCTGTTATTGAAATATGACGCCTACCATGCACTGCATGAGTCGATCTGTGTATTTCCGTGATATTGAGCTGAATATACCAATGTGCATGCATAGGCTTGTGTCTCACGATGGAGTGTACTTACATGATTAATGCAGAAAGCTGCCAAACTTCTAGCGAGCTTCTATGTCAGCCTTTCTCAACTATGGTGCCTCAAGATTTTCACATTGGCATGCCTCCAATGAGAAGAGTGCTTCTGATGTGAAGGGGGGGCTGCTGATGTGCGAAAGGGAGACTTTAATGTGAAGAGGGGCTCCTAATAAGAAGGTGGTCTCTTAATGTAAATGGGAAGTCTGATGTGAAAGGGGGATTCTGATGTTAAAAAAGGGAGACTCTGATATGAAGCAGAATGTGGATCCCACATATTTTTGTGTTTTTGCTTGGGTATCCCCCTTAAAAACCATAACTGACCCCTTTTCTTGGATAAGGGACCACACGTCATTTTTATACAGTATATATGTTTTTTCAGGTTGGGGTGCCCTGAGATTTTTTTCCTTTTAAAGTGTGCCGTGACTGAAAAAAGCTTGAGAAAGGCTGTTCTATGTTATCAGAAAGGGCTGTATAAAACTGTATTACAATATAACTAGAGAGAGCTGCATTATAAAAGGGTGCAGCATACTAACAGAAATAACTATGTGATATGGGAAATATGCATGCTACAAGAGAAACTTCCCCATCATCATAACGACTGCTGTGGGACATGTGGAAAATCATCACAGCATTTAGGGACAAACTGGCAGTCAACCAGGAAACAAACCTTTCTATGTGAATTTATATCATGAATTCTTGAGATCTGAACAAGATGACAGTCACGAATATGGCTCTCTGTATATTTGACTGTGTTCATCGTACAACTCATTGTTTCTAGGTAGCATGAGGCTGATGGCTGACAGGCGACCTTGTCGCCAGATACAAATTGCAAGCGGCAGGTTCTCTAAAGAGTTTGCCTTCAGTTCCTTTGGAATCGCTCCTTCCGTAGCAGCGAGATGTCGCTCTGTCGTGGGCCCGCTTGCTGCTAAATCTTGATCACTAGTCATGGAAGCGACATCTCCCTGCCTCAGCTACAGAGCAACTTATTCGATAGGGACAAACAGGCAGCTTCTTAGTGATACTGCCATCGGCAATTTCATCAAATCATTAGTGACAGGATTTCTAGCAACACCCGTCTGACATCAGCCTAAGTAGAAGTTTTTCAGGAGCAGTTTTCATGTTTTTAGGAACACAATCACTTTTTGAATATGTAAATGAATCAAATAAGAAATTAATTTCTTTAGCATAAATAGCTTTTTGATTTGTTTTGCTTATTTTAGCTCAAACTTAATAGCTTTTCCATTTGTCTAACTCTGTAAAAGAGCAATCTCACATCCACAGATGTGCAGTGTGTGGCATTGCCTTGATAAATGAGTGCTATGGATTACTTCTCATATTGTAAGTATTAAATATATAGGCTTACTTCTGTATTAAGATTAACGAGTTGTTTAACAATGTGAACTTGCCCACTGGATGCAGCAGCATGGAGAGGAGTGTATCCTTTCTTATCCTTACACATAGCTTCAGCGCCAAAATTTATTAGTGATGTGACAACTTCAAGATGACCTGTGCACAAACAGAAAGAAGTTAAACATATGAACTTCATAAAGAGATATATTTAGATTTTAAGTTTTAGGTTCACATGATTAACATGACCCATTTCATTGCATATCTTTCTTTTTTGCAATTTGTAGCTACTGTTTCGATAATGGGGAGCACACAGGACTAATTCCTGTAAATGTTTCCACCGGAAACCAAAATCAATTACTTCTGATGATCTTTAAATGTGTCCTTATATCTATTAAACTAACAATTTTGAAATAATGGCTTTAAAGCTACCCTCAGCTTTAAAGTAGCCTGCAGAAGCTTGCTGAAAGTGCCATCTTTCAGCAGAAATTGTGGTGCATGCCTGGTTTCTCTCCTCCCCGCTGGGTGCTGCTCTGTGTCACCTCTGACACAGCACAGCGTCCAGCAGGGAGGAGAGAAACTGTCACAGGAGGCCGAGCAGTGTGGGGAGGAGAGCGATGTGAGTGGCCGGCATGCCACAGGAGGCAGGGCTGTCAGCTGTCACAGGAGGCCAAGCCGGCGGTGCGGGGGAGGAGTCAGCTGTCAAAATAGACCAAGTTATCCTCCGCACATCGCCCGCTCTGCATCCTGTGACAGCGGGTCAGGATGGAGAGCGGGTACAGGCAGTAATCAGTGATTGCTGACTGCATGTAAATATTTAAGGACAGAGTATGTTTACTGTGTCCCAAATTATGAATGAATGGGAAGTGCTATACATCACTTCCTGTTCATTCATGATTGTGGAGATAGTAAACCTACTATCTCCACAAGTTATGAATGAACAGGATTGTAACATTTAGGGATGCACCAATACCAAGTACAGATACTTTTTGAGCTCCAAGGCTAGACTAGAGAAAAATTCAAAAGTTAGGAGGCAGCTGTCTTTTTTAAGGAGCACACGGAGCTCCTGGGATTTGTACATCTCTGTTTTAATGTATGATTTTGTTTATATTAATATAAATACAGGGATGCACCGATACCATTTTTCCAAGTACAAATACTGATACTTGCCTAAGTACTTACAAGTACAAGTACTGATACATTTTTGTTTATTGTCATGTGACAGTTTTTCTAAAACAATACAGACTAATGATTTCAGGACAGTGGTGGAACACCAGAGCCAGGTCCCAGCTGCAACCGCTGCAACCCTGGTAGTTCTCATGAAAATGCCAAGTATCGGCACTGGTATCTAAAAAGTATCGGTGGATCCCTAGTAACATTATAACAGGGTCTGCAGAAAAAGAGACTGAGCACCCAGAGCCCCCAACAGTAAAGTTAAAAAACAAAAAAAATTATTTATTGTAAAAGTAAAATATAAAACGTTTAGAAAAAAAAATTTCAATAAATATTTGAAAAAAATTAAAAAAAGGTTAGAAAAAAATAATTTTCGGTCTCGGATTTGGTCTGACATTTTTTATATTTTTGGTTTCAAAAATGTATTATTGGACAATAAAGGAAAAGCAGCACATTGATAATGGCATCACTGCTGCCTCTTCCTATGGTCAAATTTCATGCATTGACCGACAACACTGCGCAGAGCAATATAACTCTGTTTGCTCACTACATTCTGTACATGAGATTATAGGAGACAAGTATCAGGACGAATTTAGGTATGTCCACTGGCTCTATTTAATAAAAAGTTTAAATATTTTTTTAATACATGCATTTCATATATTACATTTTCTATATGTCTTGAGTTCATCTTTAAAGTGCACCTGTGCCTAGACTATGGATATAAAACAATTTACATATTCTTAACAATAATATAGTTTTAAAAAAAAAATCTCACTCACCTCTCTAGCTACTTGTGCTGTGAAGTAATGAATTCTTACTTTAACTGCTAGTTTATATGAAAACACCATAGTCTGGGCACAAGTTTACGTTAACCTTTTCACTGCCACGGGTGTAAGTACTACACCCATGGCAGCTTTAGCATGTACACAGATTCCCGGCTGCTAAAGCCAGGAAATCGTTTAAATTTTTTCTCTCCACTGCCGGCTTTCTAGTAGAAGTTATTCAATTCTACAGTAATTGCAACATGTTGCCCCCTTGCGCCTCCCTCCCAGGTGCCTCTATATCAGGTGTAAGGGTGGAGAGGGGCAGGAGATGAGCAGTCCCCCCTGTTAAGAATGACAACGGAAGCGCTCAGCTGGACTGTGCAGAGGTGTCATTAATGCTCTATTAGAGCCCTGTCTCTTTAAAGAGAACCTGTAACCTGCACTATGCTTTCACATAATGGAATTGTCACCCATGTGATAGCAATGAAGGTAAACTAAAAATATGATCTGAACACAGGTGCAAGCTGTCCTAACAGGATAAGCTACAAGGATTTCTTGTGTGTACCGAAGATCAAGCTGGTCTCTTCCTGAATGTTTTTAAATGACAAGTTTGTAAAACCATGTTTTTGGGTAGCAGCCTTTTTGTTCAATAAAGGTTTATAACGGTGCTGGCCCACTTTCTGTTTATGAGTATACATATCAGTGTGGCAGCTTCTGCCTAAAATATGAATGTATAAGCATACAACAAAAGAGCACCAATATTGCACCAATATTTAAAAAACAAAGATGTTCTTACCCTTATATGCTGCCCAGTGCAGAGCTCTTCTGTCCCTTTTGTCAAAGGCATTTATATTTGCTCCTTTTGCAATGAGCAGATTGACCATCTGTAAAATTAAACATTGGGTTCTCAGGTTAAAGGATAACAACACTTTTAACAATCTGAATCCTAACCATTAACCCTCCCTATACTATCTATACTTTCCTCTACAGAGTTAAGCTCAGTCGGCAATGTGGACTGGGAGCCATGGCCTGATTTGGACTAGATGGTAACCTATCTTGCTCAGAGTCAGCCTATACTGCACATGTGTGGCCTTTTTTCTATAGGCCCTAATAGTTAAGCCCCCTAAAAATGGATCTGAGGTCTGCTTTGGGGGTATAGATAGCATTGGGGGTGAGAGGGCCCTTAAGAATTTTATTTTCAAATCTGTACTCCAGGCAAACAGCAGAATACTCAGATAAAATACATACAGGGAAGCTGCTATACCCGCCAAAGGATTTGTAACTCTGGCCTGAGATTTACACATCCTGCAAAAAAGCACAGCCAGCCTGATGAGCCGACTTTTCTCTACTGTAGTTAAGCCACACAACTAGGTCACCTCTCTGACCCCTAGCTTGTGACCTGACAATGAATGAGCAGCAGCAGAGTAATGAGGTTCTCTCTCTGCTCTCTTACACAGATTTTACACTTTATACTGCAAATACCATTAAAGAAATATACTTTTCCTCACTGAGTAACTGAAAAAAATATTTATAAGCTATCAATAAAATACTGCTTTTTACACTCTAAGTATAACTTGTGTGCCTCTCACTCCATAACTGTAAAAAGTAAGACTTAAAAAAAAAAATAACCCTACCAAGTAATGTTCTGTAACCTACGTGCTCTCCTCGCTCTATTGCCCAACTTTGCTCTCTTCTAAAAATACATTGGGGGGAATTTATCAAAACTGGAGCAGGATAATCTGGAGCAGTTGCCCATTGCAACCAATCAGCTTCTCTCTTCAGTTTGTTAAGATTTGAAAATGAAAGAGAGAAGTGCACAGCTGCTCCAGGATTTTGTCTGCTCCAGTTTTGATGAATTCCCCTCATTATCTTTGGTCTCGACTTGTAAATTGGAGGCTGACCAACAAATGACTTCCAATAAGAACCCAGTACATGTACATATTGGGGATCATTTACTAAAGGAGGAGAGACTAAACACACAAGTGAATATTATCTTAGCTAAGTAAATGTGAAGCTGTGCTCACTTCAACCATCCAATCATGTGCAAGCAAAAATCGTATTTTTGCTAACTGAACAGCCTCTAACCTCTACTCCTTTAGTAAGCTGACCATAATATATATGATAATTGACCTGATGCCACTGAAGTGACTGGGCCACTGCAATATGAGAAAGTATCTTTTTTTTTTTTTTGCTGTAAGAACATTGCCGATAAAGATAGTAACATGTAACCGATCAGTTAACTAAAACATGGTTTTAGGATGAGTGTTATCTGCATAACATAACCTGAGCATTCCATAATGTAGGGTTAAGTACAACGCAGCTAAGGCGTACCTTGCCTATGGAACACTCACATGGAAAAGCAGATAAGAAATTCAGTTTAAAGGAGAACTATGAGGTGAGTGCTTTTCACTCACCTCATAGTTCTAGCCGACTTGTGACAATGAGACTGTCACAGGTCGGCTCAGTAGATCGGGAGGTGAGCAAACACATACCGGCGTTCGCTCACCTCTCGATCCTGTCACGGCTCTCTGCCGTGACAGGGGAGGAGCTGGATTCCCCCCTCCGATCCGCGCTGACTGGCGGAACGGACGGAGGAGGGGGCGGGTACAGCTGGCTCTGCCTCTAGATAGGCAGAGCCAGCTGTCAGTCACGCAGCTGGGCGGTTCCCGGCATAATTGTCGGGATCCGCTTCAGCTGCGGCATCTCAGTATACCGCGAGCTACAGCTCGCGATATACTGAGCCTAGAGTGACGGGAGGATGCTAGTTTGTGTCCTCCCGTTACCCTAAGGAGAACTATGGGGAAAAGCCTTAACCCCATAGTTCTCCTTTAAAGCTGAATTCTGGTTTAGGCAAATATTGTCTAAATATAAGAGACATGTATTCATATTTGAATCTTGGAATGCCCTGTGTATTTCTTCCAGATCTGTGCAACAATCTATTATGTAACTTTGCCTCTGTGCAGGAGCTTCCCCCCAAAAGGACGGCTGCTCTCTCTCCTTGAGCAGGGTGACTGGTCTTTTCTTCACCCCCTTTTAGTTTCTGAAGGCAGCCTGTACCGGGTGGGGCTTGCTGGGCCCATCCCACAGCTCTGCTCTGCTCTGCTCTGTACTGGCTAAGTGGCTATGTACAGCACAGTGATAATGTCAATACTTCGTTTTCATGGTAATATCTGTGCTTGCAAGGGCACTTGCTGCACACAAAGCACATTTATATCCTTGGTGGCTATTGAAGAATATATTTTAATGAAAGATTTTTTTTCCAGCTTTTTAGCAGAACTCCATTAAAATGGTATGTACACACATTTACAATATTTCTCCTGTTCTAGCAATCAGCCTGTTCAAGAAAGGAAGAACTGGTGCATAGTTCCAGGTTTAACTGGCCCATAGTTTTATCTTTTGAGTATCTATGGCAACAGGCAGAATGTGTATGGGGCAACAGTATCTTGAGTAGTGTACAGCGAAAAACTTTTCAACCAAGAGCTCCTTGAGACAGAGGATAGCAGTTGAAGGCACTGAAGTCAAGAAAGTCTAGTTCCTAGTAACAATGGTAAACTAGCTTTAGATGAGATGCCCACTTTTAGGCAGAACTTTTACTTTTAAGGGAGCATTTACAACAGCAAGGCAAGCTAAATGCATGGCCGCTAGTGCAGAGGTGTATCTACAAAAAATTGTGTGACTGTCCTCCCGTCCAGCTGCTGGCAACCAGTGACATCTCTGTTTGCCAGGAGCTGGATGGTGCACCGGCCGGAGCGTCCCAGGTTTCTATGAGCTGGGCAGGGAGGGCCATACACATCTCCTCACCCAGCTCTTAGCAACCTGGGACTCTCTGGCCGGCATCCCACCCAGCTCCTGTCGACCAGTGATGTCCAGCCCACATATACTGTACATCTCCCCGCCCCCTCTGGCAGCTGAGAGGTGACAGGGAGCTGTGTATGGGCAGGAGCGGAACTACCGCCATAGCGACCCATGCGGGCGCTATGGGGCCCGCGTCAGAAGGGGGCCCGGTCAGGAGCAGGAGGGAGATTTAGGGGTCCTTAATTTCCGTGCGGCCGCAAGTCAAACACTGCACCGCCGCACGGAACCTAAGGACACTCACCTGCAATCCTCTCCCCTGTCACAGTGCAGAGCGGGGGAGGGCGGAGTTATCTCCTGCCTGTGTTTGTCTGGAGAAGCAGCGGAGTAGGTGTGTGATCTTCACTGCTGCTGGGGCTGCTGACAGGTAAGGGGGGTCGAGGGGGACAGGGACTGAAGACTCTGGGGGAGCAGGGACTGAAGTCTCTATTCTCCTTAGACCCATAGAGCTGCAGGAGCCAGTAACACTGGCCAGGCTAATTTATACGCTAATTACGCGATTTGCATATTCATGAGCCGTGGTATTCATATGCAAATCCCGCCGTGCCTCATTAATATGCAAATCGCCCTTCCCATTCCAAGGCCACTGAATGAGGGGGTGGGACAGGGGGGAGTCAGGTCCTAAAGTTGCAGAATAGAGAAAGCAGAGTTTCGGCTTTGTCCACACCATATACAGTGCGTTCCAGTGCGGCTAGCTGCTGGAATGCACTGTATAGCATAGTAAACTCCCCTGTCCGTGCTGGGGCGGGAAGGGGTGTGGTAGTGCATTGAAGTCAATGGCACCGATGCCACACCCCCTGCCCGCAGTGCCACATTAGTGCCTGTATTGCGGTCCAGTGCGATCGGAAAAAATGGTGCATGCACCAGAACACAGGGGGGAGTTTACTATGCCATACAGTGCGTTCCAGCAGCTAAACGCACTGGAACACATTGTATATGGTGTGAACAAGCCCTTAGAATTGGCCGGTGGAAGAGAGGTGAGATGCTGTGCATCCACACTGCCCACTCTGTGTACCCGCCCACTGTCACCCTCTCTGTGCACCCACCTACGCTTCCACCCACTCTGTGCACCCACCCACACTCCCACCTACTCTGTGCACCCACTCACACTGCCACCCACTCTGTGTACCCGCCCACACTGTCACCCACTCTGTGTACCCACCCACACTGTCACCCACTCTGTGTACCCGCCCACACTGTCACTCACACTGTCACCCTCTCTGTGTACCCGCCCACACTGTCACCCACTCTGTGTACCCACCCACACTGCCACCCACTCTGCACCCACCCACACTGCCAACCACTCTGTGTACCCGCCCACACTGTCACCCACTCTGTGTACCCGCCCACACTGTCACCCACTCTGTGTACCCGCCCACACTGTCACCCACTCTGTGCCCCCCCACACTGCCACCCACTCTGTGTACCCGCCCACACTGTCACTCTCTCTGTGCACCCACCCACACTGCCACCCACTCTGTGCACCCGCCCACTCTGTGTACCCGCCCACACTGTCACCCTCTCTGTGCACCCACCCACGCTGCCACCCTCGCTGCTACCCACTCTGTGCACCCACCTACACTTCCACCTACACTTCCACCCACACTTCCACCCACATCGCCACACTTTGTGCATTCACCCATAATGCCCATCAATTCTGTGCACCCACACCTCCCATCCACTCTGCATCCACACTGCTTATACTGTGCACCCACACCGCCAACACTGCACCCACTTTGTAACCTCACTTTTTCCAGCTTCACTGGTGCAACAGTTTTTTTAGTTGTATTTTGCACTGTGTAATCCTTCTGAGGTGTGGCAGTGTAATTATAACTTTAAACAACATTGTAGACATGTGCACCAAACAAAAAATTCATTTAGTTTCGTTTTGAAACAACAACAAAAATTCGTTTAGTTTAGTTTAGTTTTGAAACAAAAAAAAATGTGTTTAGTTTAGTTTTGTTTTTCGGGTCCGAAATTAAATTAGTTTCGGACGAAATTCGTTATTGTAAAAAAAAACAAAAAAAACTTTATTCCTTAACCTGCCCTGGATTAGAACCTGCGACCTTATCAATGGCAATCCTGTCCTCTAACCACTACACTATTACCTCTGTACTTTTAACCATAGAAGCATTTGATATATATGAATGCAATATGTAGCATTTAACAGCTGAGAATGTCAAATGGGCGGAGCGCGCCATGACGTCAGTTTTCGTCGGGTTCGGGTGGTCGTCTGCGGCGAGACTTTTTTTATTTCGGCAGGGGTCCTGCATCCTGATTGACTCTGGATTACATCGATGGAGCAATTTTTTGTAAAAAAATGTATTAAAGGAATAGTCAAAAATTAACTGTTTGGTTTTTTTTTTCAATTAAAGGATTTTATCAAAAGTCTGGACTTTTTACTAACTATTTGATTTAACCCTTTAGTGAATGGGTAGGGGTACAGGGGTACATGTACCCCTTACTCATTCACATGGGGGGGGACGGCATCTGGGTGCCCCCTTATTTAAAGGGGTACCCCAATGCAAATAAGCCCCCTTTCACAGGGCCCCCTCAAGGGTCTGTTAGGACTGTTAGGGGGGACCCCACGTTTTTCCCCCCATTTTTTGGGGCTGGGGTTCCCCTTTAAAATTCCTACCAGACCTTAAGGGTCTGGTATGGATTTTTGGGGGAACCCCACGCATTTTTGTGTTATAAGAGGGGGGGGGGGGTCCCTCCTAACATTCCTACCAGACCTAAAGGGTCTGGTATGAATTGGAGGGAAACCTCACGCTTTTTTTTTTCATTTTCTGCAGACTGTAAAAAAAAAAAGTAATTTTGCTGTCCAATAACGAATTTCGTTGCAGCAAAATGACATTAGGAAAAAAAAATGACATTTGTCTGCAGAAGATGAAAAAAAAAAAAAGCCTGATGTTCACCCCCAATTCATACCAGAGCCTTTAGGTCTGGTAGGAATGTTAGGAGAATGCCAATTTAAAAGCAAAGAAAAAAAAAATCTTTATCCTTTACTCTCCTTGCCCTGGATTAGAACCTGCGACCTTGACAATGGCAAGCCAGGACTCTAACCACTACACTATTATCATAGAAAGGTTGTAGAGGGAAAATGTTGTCATTTTTTTTTTCCTCATGTCGTTTTGCTGCAACGAAATTCGTCCAATAACAAATTTCGGGAAATCGGGAATTTCAGATTCGTTTGCATTCGTCTTAGCTTTAATTCGGAATTCGGATGCATCCGAATCTCCGAATTTCCGAAAATTCGTCCAAAATGAATTTCGGAATGAACCGAATCGCACATGTCTATAACATTGCCACAGCAATGAAGCCGGGGAAAGTTGGCCTCTACAAATTTTTGCTATGGGGCCCTGTGATTTCTAGTTACGCCACTGTGTATGGGCCTTACACATCTCCCCGCCCAGCTCTTAGCAACCTGGAACGCTCTGGCTGGCGTCTCACCCAGCTCCTAGCAAACAAGGAAATTTGCCTTGTCTTTGCATTGGAATTCCTCAGCACACCCCCAACGCATCTGTTGTGAATAGACCCTGACATGTTAAACTGTTGAAGCAAACAGATGAATTTTATCGCGGCACACTGTAATATAACATGTAATGGAAAAATGTGCAATAAGAAAAATCTGCCAAATAGAGCCCTTGGCCTAGGATTGACCATAAAAGCAAAAAAAAAAGTTATGCATCCCTAAAATACTAGTATGCTGTAGTTACTAAAGGGTACAACATCTCTGCTAAAGAGGTCAATGATTCTTTTTTACTTTTTCTGAATCATGTTTTTTCTGCTTACAAAGAATTTCTGTTTAGAAAGAAATAAGAAGAAAAATAAATCTCACATAGGTATCCTAGACACCAACCTCTATATGACCATTGAGAGCAGCATGGTGCAAGGCTGTGCGACCTCCTCGTTCAGAAACATTGACACTGGTCAGCATTGGAATGATCATTTCTGCACACTTCATTGATTTATTCGCAGCAGCGACATGTAACGGTGTTTGCCAGTTTTTATCTCTAGCGTTGACATCAGCAGAATGTTTTATCAGTATCTGCACTGCTTCCTAAAATATAGAAAATTAATAATTTTTATTTGCAACAATATATCTATATGGAGAAATAGTACTGTACAGAACCCTAAAGAATGCAGATCCCTGCACTGAGCCCACTTTGTTCCTGTGTGCATACTTTCATGATGATGTTATATGAAAGCATCGGGGATTAGCAGACATGCAAAAGTTTCCATAGATGATCAGACTGAAGGATTCCCTTGTTTATTATGGCGATGCACAAAACAGAAGTATATTCAAAAATGGGAAAAGACAATTGTCTGTCACTGCAATCACATGATCAGGAGCCCATCCCTGGTTCGCATGGTTAAGTATCTTTTAAAGGGCCATGGCAAGGGGTTAAACTCAGTACGAAAAACAAGAGAAATTGTACTGGACAGTGTTCATGCATTCAGAATAATAAAAAGGGCACTGAGAATTACACCCAGCATGCAGAGCAAGTGAAGTGATACTGGGCAGCATCCATACAAACAAAAAATAAGAACAGATACTGAAAAATATGCCCTGCATATATAGAACGTGACCTGATACTGTGAGGTGTCCATGCAAATAGAATAAGAACAGATACTAAGAGATATACCCTATATTTCATCAGCAATAGGTTGGACTTGATGGACTTATGTCTTTATTCAACCTCAAATACTATGTAACTATGTAACGCTGCATACAAAGAGAGTGAAGTAATGCTGTGCAGCATCCATTCATAAAGAAAAGGAACAGATACTAAGAATTATACCAACACACAGAACAAGTGAAGCGATACTGTGTAGTGTCCATCCTTTGCAGAAGACGTGTATCCAAACCTCTGTCATTGTCCTTAGTGGTGAGACAAGTTGTTTTACATGCTAGTTTGTGAGTGTGCCATGATGCCTTTCTACTGTTCTACATTCATAAAGAATAGGCGCAGATACTGAGAATTATACCCTGCATACAAAATAAGTAAAGACATACAGTGCAGCATTCATTCATAAAGAATAGAAACAGATACTAAGAATTATTTCCAGCTTACAAAACAAGAGAAGTGGTACTGTGCAGGGCCCATACAAACAAAATAAAAACAGATACTAAGAATTAAACCCTGCATACAAAATGAGTGAAGTGGTACTGTGCAGAGTCCATTCATACAGAATAAGAAGAGATACTATGAATTATATCCTGTATACAAAAAGAGTGAAATGATGCTGTACAGGATCCATATACAGGAACAAATATTACGAATTATATCCAGAGACGGATTAAGAGCATCATCAGCCTGGTGCTGTCGGTCGGTTGGACAGGAAGCAGCAGAGGCGGCTCTCCTATTAGCAGATTTCAGGGAGAAAATGCCTCTCTCGCGGGCGTCAGGGAGCCGCTATCTAATAGAGGGAGACTCCCTGAACATCAGGGAGACTTGAGATCCCTGTATTAGGTGGATGCTCGCTCCTCGCTGGGGCCCCCTAATATGCCTGATTAGAGAGCTGCCAGCACCTCTGCCTGATTGTGTTCAACCAGGCCAGCCTGGATTGCCATCGAGCATATTCAGGCGATCCAGGCTGGCCGGGCCTATTTTCAGCGATGGGCCTGGAGATGGCGCTCCAGTAGCCCCTATGTTAATCCGGCCCTAATTATACCACCATACAGTACAAGAGAAGTGGTACGGAGAAGGGGTATGGAGGACCAGAGCTACGAGACGAGGCTACTAAATTTAAACATGTTCACATTAGAGGTGAGGAGATTAAGGGGGGATATGATTTCCATGTACAAAATGTTTAATGGTGGTAGCAACATTAGCGATAACCTGTTTAAAATTAACTCCGTTACAAAAACTAGAGGCCATCACCTAAAATTGATGGAAAAAAAATTCCAGCACAAGGGGCGAAGGGGGTTCTTCACAGTAAGATCAGTTAGGGTCTGGAACTCACTGCCACAGGCGGTGATATCAGCAAATAATGTGGAATTGTTCAAGAAACTTTTGGACGATTTCTTAAGGGACCGTAATATACAGGGGTACGGGTACTCCTAGAATGAGATCCTAATAGGTTGGACTTGATGGACTAATGTCTTTATTCAACGTAAAATACTATGTAATTACTATGTACTGTGCAATGGCAGCACATATGCATAAGAACCAATGTTCAGAAGTACAATCATCATACAGAAATAGATAACCATGGTCCTGTCTAGGGTCCATGTATGCCGAATAAGGAGGTACTAAGAATTACATACAGCATACAGAATGGAAAGTGCAGTGTTAAACAAATGTTCCTTAGATGCTAGATGGAAAAAGCTCTGATCCCGCTACTGAATCTAGAAACGTAACGGCTCAGGAGTGATTTATAATTTATCCTGCATTCCTTTTCACTGCCCTAGTTTCCTTGCTGTTCAAGTTTCATTCAACAACAAGGGCAGTGTGTAAAGAACTCGGGAATAAAACCTGTAAATCACTTCTGCTGTGGAACAAGCAGTGTTCCTAGTGCACTCTAGTGGTGGTTCAGCCCTTCCATGGACAAAGAGAAGAATCCTCCCTATTTCTGCTGGATTAGTAATTTCCATATCTATGCCAGAGAACGTCACAGGGCATCATCTATGCTTCTCTGACAAAACTAACAGGAGGAACCTGCACAACAAACAAAGAGGTGAAGAATGTAACACCTATCTGGTGCCCTAAAACTTGGCAATGCAGAGTAGTTACATAGTTACATAGTATTTGGGGTTGAATAAAGACATACGTCCATCAAGTCCAACCCATATAGGTCCACGCATCATCTCATTCTTAGGAATACTTGTATCCCTGAATATTACGGTCCCTCAGGAAATCGTCCAAAAGTTTCTTGAACAATTCTACACTCTTAGCTGAAATCACTGCCGGAGGCAGTGAGTTCCAGACCCTAACCGCTCTTACTGTGAAGAACCCCCTTCGCCCCTTGTGCTTGAATTTTTTTTCCACCAACTTTAGGTGGTGGCCTCTAGTCTTTGTAATGGAGTTAATCTTAAAGAGTTTGTTGCAAATGTTGCAGTCACCATTGAACATGGGGGACTACAAATCCCAGCAATACATTTATACAGCAATGCAGAACAGTATATGAATTGGACTCTGGGCTTAGTTGCGCGCTGGACTCTGGGCTCAGTTGCGCGCCGGATTCTGGGCTTAGTTGCGCGCCGAACTCTGGGCTTAGTTACGAGGCGGACTCTGGGCTTAGTTGCGCGCCGGACTCTGGGCTTAGTTGCGCGCCGGATTCTGGGGTTAGTTACGAGCCTGACTCTGGGGTTAGCTACGAGCCGGACTCTGGGGTTAGTTACCCGCTGGACACAGGACCCACCTGAGACCCCACCTGAAGTGACCCTGCAGAGCACACCATACATGCTGCACAGCCCATCTGAGACTCTCTATGGTGGGCTCCGCAGGGGTCTCAGGTGGGCTAGTTGGGGCTGCATCTCCCTCCCAGCTCCTCTTACCTGCTCCTGGCCTTCTCTGCCGCCAGACTGGCCGGAAGTGACGTGATCCCCCGCTACCTCCGGGCACTCGTCTGCGTCGCTGTCAGACTAGTATAGTGATGGCGAATGTTTTTGAACCCGAGTGCCCAAACTGCGACACAAAATCAATATATTTATCTCAAAGTGCCAACTCTGAAAATAACTTTAGTATTGCGTTGCAGTTCGGGCGCTGGGGTTTAAAAAATGTTCACCATCATCCCTGCCTCAGACAAAATAGGGAAACACACACATTCAAATATTTATACACTCATTAACTACTTGCTGCCCGGAGCAATTTCTTACAGTTGCACACACATGATAAAGTCTGAATTTTTGGGTAGAAAACAGCTTCGGACCCCCAAACAATGATATATTTTCTGAAAGCCGAGGTCCTGTAAAATAAAAAGATACTAGTTGCAATTTTTTATGTTGCACGGTATTTGCGCAAATGTTTATCAAACCAGTATTTTTAGGATAAAGTACACTAAAATTAAATTTAGTGCACAGAATCAGAATATAATGGCTAATTTGTTGGTACAATATAAAAGACGGGGTCACGCCGGGCAAATAGATACCAAACATGTCAAGCATCCATGAAACCGCCAAAAACTACAATAACCAACATTTTCCATAAGCAACACATTAAATGCTTTTACGGCTCATCAGTTTAGTGCTATCAGTGATTGATGGGCCGAGAATTATTGCTCTCACTCCGACGGTCGCGACGATACATAACATGTGTGGCGTAATTTTTGTTTTTGCATGTAGGGGCATCCGACGCGAGTTTGTGTTGTATGTGCGTGCACGTGGGGAAAGGGTAAACTTAAAAAAATGTTTTTTAGTATTTACATTTTTTTTATGTTACTTTAATTTTTACCTTTTTTCTACACTCAGCTTTATTGCTATCACATAGCGGGCTAAAAAGCCCCTTATGTAATAGCACATATGTGACAGGTCCTCTTCATGGAGACGTCAGGGGTTTTTCATACCCTTAATGTCACCTCGGGACCCCAAAAAGCTGATGAAGCAGAGATCTGCTTCACCAGCTTCTTCTTCTGGCTCTAAGGGGTTGCCCACACCACTTGCAGTGCGTCCCGGCCCCATTCCGGCTGGAATGCACTGCATCACATTGCGGCCGGCTCAATTTTTGCCGGGTAGGAGGGGGAGTGGCGGGCCATTGAAGTGAATGGCACCATAGCCACGCCCTCCGGCCACAATGCGATCGCCCACACGGGATCGCTGGGCACATTGTGCCTGCGTCCCGATGCGGTCAAAATAGTGCTTGCAGCATTTTGACCGGAACGCACTGCAGGCAGAATGTGCCCTGCGATCCTGTGCAGGCAATCAAATTGCGGCCGGAGGACGTGGCTACGGCGCCATTCACTTCAATGGCCCGCCACGCCCCCTCCTGCCCGGCACAAAAGTGAGCTGGCTGCAATGCGATGCAGTGCGTTCCGGCCAGAACGCACTCTAAGTGGTCTGAACCGGCAGCCATGGAGGAGGGGGGCACAGCTCCACACCGTACAAGCGATTCAGCGCCTGTACAGACGCCGGATCGCTGGTATATAAAGAGCAATCGTCAGCTGTTTAACACGGTACAAGAACATGGCTTCAGGAGCAGCCATGTTCTTGGTATAACCACTTCCAGCGGATGACGCACAATTACGTGAACCCGCGGCAAGTGGTTAAAAAAAAACAAGCAAAAAAAAAAACACATGTGTAATGAAACACGCACATATCACACACACTCATTAAAAAACACACACATAGCTTCATTAAAAAAAAAAATCACACACATTCATTAAAACACACACAATGATATGTGGGCGCTTGCCAGGTTTAAAGATGGCCGCCGCTACTCGCAGCGGCCATCTTTAAAAACAAATGTACAGTGGAGAGACCCCCTGGGTGCTGCGGGGGGCCCGGCCACATCCTGGCATGTCACTTGAATGGCCGATACTCATGTAAGGTGCCCGGGCCGGGCCCCTAAGGCTGGCCGGGCCCCTTACAATCAATATCGACCATACCCCGCTGACGGCGACCCTGGAAGGGTTAAAGCGTGGGCACATTTCTTCCTACAAGTTGAACGAAAAACATATAACAGTGTATGGCCAGCTTTATGGTAAAAAAAAAACTGGGTTTAACCAATCATTTTTGGCATATAAATTGATAATAATCTGCATAACGGGGGGCATAGCAGGGGTGTATCCATTGCCTAAATAAATTGTGCTAGAAGGTGTCCCTGTTTCTCATCTCAGATAGTCGGGAGGCAGCATTATCAGCATTGAGGGAAGCAGGCTGAGCACATTCACTTTTTTTGCCCCACCAAGTTTCCTAGCACTTTCCTAGTTGTGCACAGGTTGATAGGGGATATAAACATACCACCTGTTCCGGGTCTGACATGGGGTATCTCCAAGCTAGATGTGCCTAAGACAGCTACTAAAAGATCTACCTCCTTGTGAAGGTGGATAAGCGTGTCAAGTGTGATGCTCATAGGAAATAGGTAAGGGCAGGACAGATCTGTATATGAACACATATAATAGTAAACTAAACATAGCATTAAAGGAAAAACAGTATAATACCGTGATTATTAGAAAAATGGCAAATAAGTAAAAATTGCCACCACTTTCTAAAATAAAAAATATACTGAACTCCAGGACAATCAAAAAATTGTCTAAATAAAAGAGGCATGTGTATTTTTACTTGAGTGTGCTTTGTGTATTTCTTCCAGATCTGTGCAGCATTCCAGTGTAAAACATTGCTTCTGTGCAGGAGCTTCCTGTAATAAAGACCAGTCACTGCTGCTTCCTTTCCTTGTGCAGGGTGACTGGTCCTGTATCCGCCCCTCCCTGTGGTTTTCTGCAGACACCCTGTAGTAGGTAGGCCTGTTGGGTCTATTCCACAACTCTGTGTTCTGCACAGCATGATGAAGTCACAGTGATGATGTTACCACTACATTTATATGGTAATATCAGGATTTGTAAAGGTGTTTGCTGCACAAAAAGTGGGTTTATTTCTTCTATGGCTATTGAGGAATATATTTAAATAAATTTTATTGTGCCTGGAGTTCAGCTTTGAGATATATATATATTTCTTACATGACAAGGTGAAAGCAAGCACAGAATCACATACAAAAGGTTAATGGTTTGACATTAGTGTTTTGTGACTGCGACACATAATATTACATCTGCTAAGTACTGCAGTATCACACTAACCTCACTTCCTGAAGCAACAGCACGATGAAGAGGCGTCAACCACATGTTATCCTTAGCATTAACACGAGCTCCTTTGGTAAATGAAAAGAGAAACACATTTTATTTCACATACTTATTCAGCACAGTGAGGTTTTCAAGTAAATGAGTGCTTTGTCTACAAAGGGGGCTTCTCTGACTGCTTACACTCACCTTTCTTTACTCCCCTGCTAGTCTGGTCATCAACAGGAGTGAAGTGAATAAGTCCTATGTTAGCCTAAAGGGTTAGTTCACATTTTCACAAAAATCTCACAACACTCTGCTCAGTCCCCCCATGCCCCCATAGTCTGTCCCCAATGATGCAATGATGACCATCGCCCGCCATGCCATCCTGGTGTAACATTCAAGAACATGAAAACGTCACTACACAGCCCCGTAGACTGTATAGCAACATAAATGCTTGCAGTGGGGAAGGGTCATTGGTTAGCGTGGCCAAGTGACCATGCTAACTAGCCACTGACCATGCTGATAATGACAATCTCTTATGAGCCTTTTGAGATTCTCATTGGTCAGCAGGGCCCAGGGAGGCGAGGAAGGTGTTAGTGTGAGTTAGTTCACTTAAACTTTTTGTGAAAAAGTGAACTGACCCTTTAAAGTCGCTCTGAATGGAGCTTACACAGAACTAAGGATTTGTTCCTGTTCCTGTGTAACTGCATCATGAGAGGAAGGGGAGAAAGTCTAGAACTCCACATACCCTCTAGTACTTAGTATTTCAATTCACTTCAGATGGCCAACAGATTGGCAGAGGAGTGAAGAACAAGTAAGTATATGCAGTGTGAACTTAGGGGTGTGCCCTTTAATGCTTTCCTGGCCAGCGCAAAAAAAGAATATAAATCAACATTATTGGTAAATTATAGGCACGTGTGTTCTCTGTGGGTACTTTTGCCTTCAAATCAGTTGCTTTGATTCTAAAGAGGACCCTTTCTCAGTCAATATTTATTCTCAACCTTTCCTTTTGCTAAATTCGGCCCTGTGACAATGAACTGTAAAAAATGCCAGAGCTTCTATTGGCCAACAACACGGCTCGCTCCGCCCATTTGACATTCTCAGCCGTCAAATACTACATAGCATTCGGAAACTCCCGAGTGCTATTCGTGAGTTTCCGAATGCTATTCGGGTCTGTGAGCCGAGGTGTCATAATGCTTTTCAGATGACACCTCGGCTCACAGACCCCAATACCATAGCCGAGGTGTCATAATGCTTTTCAGATGACACCTCGGCTCACAGACCCCAATAGCATAGCCGAGGTGTCATAATGCTTTTCAGATGACACCTCGGCTCACAGACCCCAATAGCATAGCCGAGGTGTCATAATGCTTTTCAGATGACACCTCGGCTCACAGACCCCAATAGCATAGCCGAGGAGTCATCATGATTTTCAGATGAAACCACGTCTCCC